GCGGGCAGATCATAAGGTCAGAAGATCGAGACCATCACAGCTAATATGGTAAAACTCCATCTCTACTAAAAATACAAAAAATTAGCCGGGAGTGGTGGCGGGCGCCTGTAGTCCCAGCTACTCAGGAGGCTGAGGCAGGAGAATGGTGTGAACCCGGGAGGCAGAGCTTGCAGTGAGCTGAGATTACTCCACTGCACTCCAACCTGGGCGACAGAGCGAGACTCCGTCTCAAAAAAAAAAAAAAGTGGCCTCCAATTTTTACAGGTTTAGAGACTATATGATGTTTAGATAATTAACTATAAAAAATTAGACTATTATGCCACACAGAAAAATAAATTCAAAATAGAATAAATATGTATGTATTTGCTCTGTCCTAACTGTTGTAAAAACTGACCATATTGTTAATGCCTTCAGAGGGTCTAGCAGAATGAGGAAGGCTGGACATTCAGAGGGGGCTCCTCCTGCTGGGGAAAGTACATGCCAAGGCCAATGGGAAGGTTGCCTAGAGACCAATATGTGATTCATTAACTGGGTTAGGCTGAATAATCCTCTACACAAAAGGTATTTCTGATTACACAAGAAAAAAGAAGAGGATGTAACAAGTATTGATCACTTATGCATTGGACCAGGTGTTTTCACCTTGCCTCCTTTTCAGGGTGTTCAGGATTGAATATGTTATCCACCTATTTAAGAGAGGAAACTAAACCCCAGAGGGATTGTCACTTGCCCAAAGTTGCCCAGATAACTGAGGTAAAGGTTCAATTTCAGCTCTGACTGACTTCAACCAATAGCTCCAGAGGCCTCCTAGCTATTAAAGTGGAATGCAGGCTAGGCGCGGTGGCTCACGCCCGTAACCCCAACAATTTGGGAGGCCAAGGCAGGCAGATCACCTGAGGTCAGGAGTTCAAGACCAGCCTGGCCAATATGGGCAAAACCCCATCTCTACTAAAAAATAAAAAATAAAAATAAAAATAAAATTAGCCAGGTATGGTAGTAGGCACCTGTAATCCCAGCTACTCGGGAAGCTGAGGCTGGAAAATCGCTTGAACCTGGAAGGTGGAGGTTGCAGTGAGCTGAGATCACGCCATTGCACTCCAGCCTGGGCAACAAGAGCAAAACTCCATCTCAAAAAAAAAAAAAATAGAATGCAGTAGCCCTGACACAGCCTGTGTTCTCTCCACTGCACTCTGCTGCAATGACCATCCAGCTGCCTCTTTCCTCTTAGACATGGACTCATTCTGCTTGACATGATTTCTCTGGCCCCACTTCTGAGTTTCACATAGGTCCCAGCTTTTATTAACTCATGATTATTTACATAAATTAGAATGCAACTTACTCAAATAGGACTTTTTTCCAGTTATATTTTTTGTTCTAAAGATAACATGTGGTCTTCTGAACAGCTTCACTATTTCAAGTTCTTGTCAGTAACATGTTTACAAACCATCTATGGAGATGGCCATCTTCTGGTGTGTTGTTTCTATCTTAAAGGACGGTCTTTGGTATCCCTCATCCTTTTGGTGTCCCTCATCCTTGGAATGTCCTAACTGTTGTAAAAACTGACCATATTGTTAATGCTTTCAGAATAGCACTGAATTTTACCATTTTGTTTTGGGTGTCTATGTGGAGAAATAATTTAGAAATTCATTTTTTGTGGATTCTTTAAAACTCACGGAGGTCGGGTGTGGTGGCTCATGCCTGTAATCCTGGCACTTTGGGAGGCCAAAGCAGGTGGATCACTTGAGGTCAGGAGTTCAAGACCAGCCTGGCCAATATGGTGAAACCCCTTCTCTACTAAAAATACAAAAATTAGCCGGGCATGGTGGCATGCGCCTGTAGTTCCAGCTACTGGGGAGGCTGAGGCAGGAGAAGAATTGCTTGAACTTGGGAGGTGGAAGTTGCAGTGAACTGAGATCACGCCACTGCACTCCAGTCTGGATGACAAAGCAAGACTCCGTCTCAAAAAAAAAAAGAAAAAGAAAAAACCAAAAACCTCATGGAAATACTCATTTTAGAGCTGGAAATCTCTGTTACCTGCAACTCTCCTAACTGTGTTCATTTCAGTCATCTGTTCCCCTACTAGACTATAAACTTTGTGAGGGCAGGAGCCCTTTCTGCCTCATTACTGTTGTATATGTCCCATGCATGTGCCTGAACATAACACAGACTAACTTCTCATTATGTAAACATTTATCATATGGATAAAGTGGACTCTCCAAATAGTAAAGCGACAGTTGAGAATTAACAAGTCACAAATCTGTATAGTTCTTTTCCACATAAAAGTGCCGTGGCTCTAAGACCTAATGGGGCTCCTTCTGTGCTACCACAAAGGCTTTCTAAATTGGTGGGAAAATACAATAATCATTGTCATCACATTAACCCACAAGTTATTGGGAATACTTACAAAATAAAATTATAAACACTAAATCTCAAAACACTTTCTCACACATTTCAAAACTTACAAATAGGAATACACACAAAATGGAACCAGAGTCCCAATAAAAACACATTATATAGGAAGTTATGTGATAAGGGTAGCATTTCAAATCAGTAGATAAAAGAATAATGACTCAATATATGATGTTTAGATAATTAACTATAAAAAATTAGACTATTATGCCACACAGAAAAATAAATTCAAAATAGAATAAATATGTATGTATTTGCTCCATCATAGTATTAGAAAAACACACGGGAAAATATTTTGAATAATTTCTAGTAGAGGACAGATGTTACCTACTGCCAGGCACCATTTATTGCATGGGAACACAAGAAGTACACACAGCAGCTAGTAAATATGTTGCGTAAGCCCCTAGAAAGAACTCCCTGAAGAGGAGCCAAATACATTCTCAAAAAAAGATTCTATCACAATTCACAATCCACACAAATATATAAATATGCTAACATTTGGCAGAGATCAGAGCCAAAAAAAAAATTCTTAATAAGATTAATAAGCTGAACATATTAAAAAAATAAAACTCTCTACTGCAAAAGACATAGAATAACAAAAGATAAAAGAGTGGATAAAATGTTGACAAGACATAGGACACATTGTCACTTATCATTATGGTTCAAAATCTATACATCAAAAAGGAAAAGATACAATAGAAAAGCAGGCAAAGGACATAAGTCGGCAAGTGATTGTGAAAAATGCTCTAGTTCACCCAGTTTTTAAATGAAATTTTAAATGAGATGCTTTAACCAATCAAAATTGATCGTTCATTTGACTGGTGAGATTGTAGGAAATCAGGCCCTCTCGGGCTCTGCTGTACAACATTGCCAGATAGCAATCTGTCCTACATTTCGGTGAGCGATTGGCTTGGAAATTCAAGTCATAGGAAGTGAGCCTACAGAAATACTTGCACCTAAAGGCAAAAGTGTTTGTAGCACTGAATACTGTTAAGGGGAAAGCTATCTAAGTGTCTGTGAATAAGGAGTGGTTAAATGAATTACAGTCCTTCGATGCAATGGAATACTTCCATATCACTACTATTCTAAAGAATGAGGTAGGTCAACACAGACTGACACTCAAAGATGTTCCATAATGTGTCATCAAGTGACTTACAAAACAATATATGGAATGATCGCAATGTTTTGAAAATGATACAGTTTATACACAGCTTAGAAGGATACACGTGTCTGTCTTTTTTTTTTTTTTTTTTTTTTTTTTTT